ATTTCCAGAATTTCCTGAAGAATCAGAAGCTCTAGCACACTGGTTTCCACCTTCCCACCAGCAGTGCTTGACCAGAGCCCAGCAGAGGGATGCACACTCCAGGCCTGCCACAACCCTCTGAGCCTGCATCACTTATTTACATTTCTTACCTAGCCCCACCAGACCCATGAGATATGCCATGAACAAAATGAAAAGACAAAAGGTGCTCTAGGAGAACATGTTTGCAACACATCCAACAAAAATTTAATATCTATTACATATAAATAAGAACCAAACTGTTCCATAGAGTACCAGAGAAAGTGTAAACAGGTTAATTCATAGAAAAAGACATTCAAAGAGCCAATAAACATGAGAGATACTCAGCTTACTGGCGATTAGGAAAATGCAAATGAAAATGAAAATATTTTTTTTTCAAAAGCCATCAAATTGGCAAAAAATCAAAAAGCCTTCTAACATCACTATTGGCAAAGATGTGGGGAAAGTACTCACCATGTTATTGGTGAGTGTGCAAATTGGTGAAATCTTTAGGGGGCAATCACCATATTAAATGCATGTACATTTAAAGAAATGTAGGTAAACTTTTATTGAAGTAGAGCATGCCTGCAGAAAAACACACAAATCATGTGTGGCCCAGAAGGCTGAATACACCCGTGTAACCATTGCTTAGATCGAAGAAAGACAACGTTATCAATACCCAGAAACTCCCTGTGTCCTCTCTCTGTCAGTAAACCTCCCCAAAGGTAACCACTACCCTGACTCCTAACAGGATTTGCCTGTTTTTGAACATTCCGTGAATGAAATTATATAGTATATATTCTTTTGTGTTCGGTGTCTTTCACCAAATATTATATTGTTAAGCTTCATCTATGTCGTTCTATGAAGCAAGAACATTCATTTTTGTGCTGTATAGAATTCCATTGCATGACTAGATCAAACTTGATTATTCTGTTGTGTGATGAAGAACAAGTGTCGCTGCTACGAACATTCTTATATGTGCTTTTGGTGCATATAGAAACACATTTCTGTCAAATATAATAATATAATATAATATAATATATAATATAATATAATATATATAATATTGACAACACTTTCGCTCTAGGAATCAATCTTACAGAAACTCCAGAGAGAACAAGACTGCAGGTGCAAGGGTGTTTATTGTAACATCAGAAAATAGTGGTGTCAATCTCTGTGTTTACCATGACAATAAGGTTTAAAAATATAATGTTTCATCTTGACTCGGAATAGTATGCAGATAATAAAAAGACAATGAGCTACATATGTAAGTTCTTATATGTAAGGCTGCCCATACATCATCAAGTGAAAAGAAGCATCCTGCAACAACAACAACAACAACAACAAAACAGTGTGATATAAGAAGCATATCCAGTGTTAAAAGAGCTGTGTGAGCTCCTGAGAGGTGGATAAGAAGAGCGGAGGCTGTGTCCTGGCATCATGAACATACTTGATCAGAAGATTAACTCTGATACACTCTAAAAATTTTCTCACATAACCCTCATTGATACAGCAGCACCTGAAGAAAATCTAAGCCAGTTTTGGCCTCTATATTTGTGGCGGCTTCAGGGGCCTATGTCCATGTGGTCACTTATTTCATTCAGGCTGGCCTGTTCTCTGCCCTAGACTCCATGGAATTGATGATTTAGCTGATGGCAACACCTCATAGCCATAAAACTGAGCAAAAAAAACTGGGACTTCTTGGTGGATTTGCTTTTCCTACAGGAGTTGCCCTGGGCCCTGCTCTGGAGTTGTGCATTGCCATAAACCCCAGCATCCTTCCCACTGCCTTCACTGGCACAGCATTGATCTTCACCTGCTTTTCCCTGAGTGTACTTTATGCCAGGTTCCAGAGCTACCTCTTTTTGGAAGGTATGTTGATGTCACCCATGAACCTGAAGCTCTTGTCTTCTCTGGGGAATCTTTTCTTTGGATCCATTTTGTGCTCATGTGTGGCTTTGTCTTTTCTGATACTCAACTCATTATTGAAAAATACTAAAAAGGAAGATAAGGATTATATATGTCACTGTATTAGCCTCTTCTTAGATTTTATTACTGTCTTCAGAAAACTCATGATGACCCTAGCTATGAATGAGAAGGACAAGAAAAAAGAGAAGAAATGAAATGACCACCTGGCCTTTTCCAACATGGCTTTCTTTCCTTCCATCCCTCAATTCCTTACAGGTGGCGTGTTTTGTAATAATGAAAAGCATCAGAAAATAATAGTATAATATATTATTATATATGTATATACATACTACATATGCTATTAGTACACAATAGTATGATATACTAATAGAATAGTATGATTTCAATTTCTAAACAAACAAAAGATAAAATAGAACTTTATATATAGAGATTTGTGTGCATTAAATATCTGGAAGGACTTTTCACATATATACCAGGGACGAGGGATACAGTTGGGGAGGAAAAGGGACAAGATTTTACATACATTCTATATATCTTAAACTCATCTAGTTTTCTCCATCCTCACTGCCATTGTCCTATCTAAGTCACCATTACCTCTGGTGTTGAAAATACAATGGTTTCCTTACTGGTTCACCTCTCGAGTCCTTTCTGTCCATCAGGAAGGTGAGAACTCAGCAGATAGACTGTGGAAATGTCGGCCTCAAGAGCACACTAGTGTAGCAGCGATCCAGGAGTCAGGTGGCCACTATAAGATGGCCTGTGATACTGCCTGTCAAGTAAAAAAAAAAATATCTTGCAAAAAAGTAGGCAGAGTATAATCTCATTTTTAAAATAAAAAATTTTAAGTTTAAACAATACTTTACAAGTGATTATATATACATGTTCATTCAAGTATTGGGAAGTCACAGGTAACACAATATCTCATTATCCACAAAGCATGTATTCCTCTAGGAACAGCTGTACCATGGCACCCTAGTGACCTTCCACATGTCCACATGGGCCATGAAGGCAAAGACTTGAACCGCAACTAATTTGAGTCTAGGCAGAACACAAGAAGATGGGGAGGCCTGTGAGAAATTGTTCTGAGGCCATCTTCTATTCGCCTCTTATATTAGTTTGCTTGGGCTGCTGTAACAAAGTACCACAGACTAGGTGGCTTAAACAACAGGAATTTAATTTCTCACAGTTCTGAAGGCCAGAAGTCCAAGATCAAGGTGTCATCAAGGTTGGTTCCTTCTGAGGACAGAAAGGGAATTATTTGCTCCAGGCCTCTGTCTTTGGCTTGCATATGGCCAGCTTTTCCTGTGTCTTCACGTCATCTTTTCCTCTGTACATGCCTGCATCCTAATCTCCTCCCATAGATACCAGTCAGATTGGATTAGGGCTCACCCATATGATCTTATTTTAATTTTATTACCTCTTTACAGTCCCTGTCTCCAAATACAGATGCTCCTCAACTTATAATGGGATTACATCCCAATACACCCATCATAAATTGAAAATATCATAAGTCGAAAATGTATTTTATACACCTAACCTACTGAACATCATAACTTAGACTAGCCTGTCTTAAAAGTACTCAGAACACCTACAGTTGGGCAAAATTATCTCACTGCCACTGCGTAGCATCATAAGAGAGTATAGTAGCACATATCCCTAGCCTGGGGAAAAGGTCAAAATTCAAAATTCAAAATATGGTTTCTACTAAGTGTGAATCACTTTCATACCATTGTAAAGTTGAAATATTATAAGTTGAACCATCATTAAGTCGGGGATCATCTGTGCAATACATTCTGGAGTACTGATGATTAGGACTTCAACGTTTTGAATTTCAGGAGGAGTGACATAGTTCAGCCCAAAACACCCCCCTAGCTCCCTGGGAGGCTTTCAGGAGACCATTTCTCATCACTTCTTGGGTTCTGATGAGGTATGAGACTTTCATATGCCCCAACCCCACCCCAGGATAGAGTTGCAGACCATAAACTGCTTACTTTTTATACTGCCTGTCAAGAGTTCGCTCATCTGGCGCCATTTGTTTCAGTGTCATCCTTTTTGGTGTGGAACAAGGACTCAGGGAGCTGGCACCTTTGGTTAATTTTCCTTACATTGTTTATGTAAATAATGAACTGTCCAAATCTAAAAGTGGCTACTGCATCTTTACCAACCAAAACCAGCCAGGCCTTGGCCTTGGCTTTCCTGGAAATTCTTCTGTGTGCTTGACGACAGACACTGGAGTGTGTTCCTTCTTTCCCCTCATTCAGCACCCCTGCATTTGAACTTGCTTGCCATTTGAAAAAATGGATTAACTAAAGATAAAACACAACTGTATGTGCATACTTGTGTGCGTTTAAATATTTAGAAAAACTTTTTACATATGAACTGATAGCACTGATCACCCTTGGGGAAGGAGGATGAGGTATGGGGAAGGTATGTTAATATTTTATATATATTTTATACAACAGGCCCCAGAGGACACGGACAAATTGCCAGAGGTGGGAAGCCTGGCCACTAATGGACAAAGTTGAGCCCACTCACATTTAACATCCTATACAGGAATCCTTACTCTCAATTCCTTCCCCAACAAATAAAAATTTAGCTGAAGAAATCAAAACAACAATGAGAGAACACCTCATACCCATTAGGAGAGTTGTTATAAAAAAACAAAAAACAAAAAACAGAAAATAACAAGTATCAGTGAAGATGTGGAGAAATTGGAACCCTCGTGCACCGCTTGTGGGAATACAAAATGGTGCAGCTGTTGTGGAAAACAGTAAGCCAGACACAAAAGGATAAATATTGTATGATTTTATTTATATAAGGTCACTAAAGTAGTCAAATTCATAGAGACAGAAAGAATGGTGGCTGTCAGGGGTTGGGTGTTTAAGGGGTACAGAGTTTCAGTTTAGGAAGATGAAAAAGTTCTAGAGATGGATGGTGGTGATGATTGCACAACAATGTGCATATACTTACTGCCACGGAATTGTAGACTTAAAAATATGGTTAAGACGGTGAATTTTATGTTACGTATTTTCTACCACAATAAAAAAATTAGTATAGTTCTGGCTTCTGCAGCACATATACTAAAATTGAAATGGTACAGAGAAGATAAGCATGGCCCTTGAGGAGGAATGACACACAAATTTGTGAAGTGTTCCATATTTCTTTTTTAATGCAGAAAAATATGAAGGCTAGAATAAAAATGTCCTAGTATCCTACTACCTATTTCACCACACCTATACAAAAATAGTATAAAAAATGAACTCTTCTAAAGTAAACTTTATACTCCACACACACAAGAAAAGTTTGGCTAAAGATTTGAGAGGCTTTGCTACCTGGAGATGCAATTTAATAAAGACACCAATTCCCTTGCTGTGGTTGTTGACCTGTTGAGGGTGGGATTAATCTTACCCACCTGTGAGCTCATTGCCAGAGAAACTCCCCATGTGGGGACAGTCTTGAGCCAGAGAGGTGGACACACTGTGAGCACATCTTATCCCTTTTCTATCTTCTCTGTCTACAGCCTGGTGAGAGAACACAGAGTGAAAAGCTGAGACATGCAGAGCTTTTCTCGAATTCCCTCTCCATCCTTTCTGTCTCACCTGCTCCCATCCCATTATATTTCTTCTGTTGAACCCTCCACAGACTTCCTGCTTCATAACTGTTGCAGCAGTTATTCATTTCATATGTGCCTTTCAGTGTGTTTCACATTATTAGCTAACTTTTCATAGTGTGTATCTTTCCCTTTCTGACTAGACTAGAAGTTTCTCAAAGGTAAAGACTCATTCTTTGCCACCTTGGATCTCTTTAGATCTCACATCAATGTTTAGTATATAGTAAGGGGTATGTATATCCAGACAATGGAATATCATTCAGTATTAAAAAGAAATGAGTTATCAAGCCATGAAAAGACATGGAGGAACCTGAAATGCATATTATGAAGTAAAGGAGCCAATATGAAAAGGCTGCATACTGTATAAGTCCAACTACATGACATTCTGGAAAAGGCAAAGCCATGGAGGCAGTAAAAAGATCAGTGGTTGCCACAGGTTCAGGGGAGAGAGGGTGGGAGGGATGAATAGATGGAGCACAGGAGATATTTAGGGTGGTGAAACTATTCTGTGTGATACTATAATGGCAGACACATGACATTATGCATTTGGCAAAACCCATACAATGAACAACACCAAGAGTGAACCTTAATGTAGGCTATGGAGATTGGTTTACAGTAATTTACCAATATCGATTCATCAATATTGAACCCATATTCTACTACAAGTTATTAATAATAGGGAGAACTTAGAGGGTAATATGGGAGGTCTATACCATCTGCGCAGTTTACTATTGCTTAATTGAAAGAATATTGAACCTTCCACATGGACATATCTGATTAGGAGTGAGCTGGGAAGATTTATCCAGGCCTGACATTTTTCAAAATGCAGTGAAACACGGTTGGAAGTAAATTAAAGGGTCACCTAGAAGACAAAGAAGAAAAATTAGAAGATGATTAAGCATTTATTGTGAGTTAAAATTTACACAGAAAGTTGTTAGACTTGCCCCCAGGTGTTTGTGTTTCTTTATGTTTTCCCTAGTGTATCATATTTTGTATTAAAATCGCAAGTAATTTTTACAGAGAATCAAAATGTCCTTGACTGTATCTGACATCCTCTTTCCAGGCCTTTTCCGGCCCTGACCCCTGAAGAGAAGGAACAGGCTACATATTATATGGCTTTGTTTGAAGAACTAAGAAAGGGAGTTAAAAACCAAATGCCCAACATTACAGAAGTATCACCTGCCTATCAAACAGTTTCTGGAAAGACAATATTCAGGGAATTGCACTGCTGAGAAAAACACAAAGTTCAGTCTGATGTGAACAGTCAAGAAAGTGCTAGACCAAAAGGCAGTGGGCAGGACAGCCATTCCTGGTGGTTATTTTGTTTCCATAATAGACTGTGGCAGGTCCACATCAGTCAGTGGCCTGTGTGAATTTCCAGTGCCTTCCTTCTCCTCCAAACCTCCAATGCAACTACATAAACAGGTTTAACACTCTCTTCTGTCTTTCTCATGTATCTCGCCTTCACTATGTTAGGTTTAAGGTAACTGCAGCAAGAGACACTAATGTTATTTTGTTGGCACTCAGGGCTCCTGACCTTGGGGTGCAAAAGTGCAGAAAAGGAGAGGCAAATTAATGCCTCCAGCCAGTGGACTTTACACTCGGTTTTGCATGGGACCTTCCCACTGTTCCTGGCTCCCAGGTCATTGTGTTTCTCAGCTTCACACTGCACCACAGCTCCCTCTTTCATTTATCATACTCCCCCCAACCATGCCAGCTTCTGTTTTGAGGCTAGAAAACAGGCCCTGGGAGGGAACTAATTACTTAAGTGGGGGACAGAGAGGTCAAGGGATGGCTTTGTAAGTCTCTATGCATTGCGAGCATTATTACCACAGGCCATGGTGGCCAGCATTGTCCTAGGTCATGTTCTCTGGAAGTAGACCCCAGACATGGATTCCTGTGCAGGTAAATTATTGAGAGAGAGCTCCCAGAAGAAAAAGGTAAAGATGGGAGGGAAGCAGAGTAGAATAGGGGAAGAAAACAAGCAAAGATGGAGGTTTGGCTCAAGTCTAGCCTCAGCCTGTTCCAGAGCAGGGGATGCAGCATCATAGTCATTCACCCCATACTTGACACAAGGGGCCCAGGTCTTTATATCTACCATATCAGTTAGTCATTGACTGCAGGCAACCTCTATAGGCACAGGAGGGCACATAAGTCTCAAGCGATCAGCTCTGGATGAGGCTTTCTGTAGACAGAGAGCAATTCTCCAGAGAAGGCCAAAGCTGTGAGCCACTCAGCTAGGGACAAGCACTGCGATCAATGCAGGGAATCTGGCTGGACCACAACAGCACCCACAAAGGACTGCCTTCTAAAATAACAACAGGAGAGAAGTAGATTAGACACCAGGAAAAGCCTCTTGAGGTGGCTAGATGCTCTTGAGCTCCTTCTAGCTATCTGTCACTAGAGCAGATGGATAGGGTATATGGCCTCACATCAAGTGGATCTTCCTAGGCAGACAGACCCAAGCAGGATATTTGGGTAGGTGCCCTCAGAAAAGATCCAATCTGAGAATGCCACTGAGAATCACAACGTGTGACCTCACTGTCAAATGCTGGCCAGAGACTTAAGGAACACCCTAGAAAGCTTCCCAGAAAGCTTTAAGAATAGTTTGGTTCTAAAAATAGCAGCAACTTTTACAAATGTTACTCTGTATGTCTGTTACACTTTATGTCTATTAATGTCGTTTAATCCTAACAGCAACCCTATGAGTAAGGCGTTATTATTTATCATCCCCATTTTCCAAATGAGACTGAGGCCCGGAGAGGTTAATTTGCCCCAGTTAATGGTTGGAAATAGTAGACCCAGGATTTGAACCTATGTAGCCTGGCTCAGGAAGGCTACACCATTTCATTGCCCACAGCTGTCCCTCTAGCTGGTGTAGATAGGTGCTAGAAAACAGGAGACCACCCTGGATGCCTTCGAAGGAGCATGTTTATAAACCTCAGCATATATCAGAATCACCCTTGGGAGATTGTGACTCTACAGAATCCAGAGCCTCATCCTGAACCTACTGAATGAGAACCCAGGGCTGAGAGGCAAGTAGAAACCTATACATTTAGCAAGCTCCTCAGGTGTTCTGACACAGATGGTCCGAAGGCAACTCTGTAAACCCCACGATGATTCAGATGAAAGAGCAGAGGCCAGGTTCATAATCCTGCCTCTTCTGCTTCCCACATATATGACCTTGGAAAAGTTAATTCACCTTTCTTAGCTTCGATTCTTCTCAAATCTAAAATAAAAATAATAATACTTCTTAAGATTTTGTGAAGCTTAAACTGCATGTTACTGTACATATAGTATAATTCCATATATATATTTAAAACTATATATGTATATATCTTACATAGGTATGTCAACCACAGGGATGGAGATATATATATTAGACAAAGGTAAGGTAGACCAAACTATTAAGGTGGTTGTCTCTAGGGAGGGAAATAAGGGGGTGGAAGTGGAATGAGTTTTTTACTCTATTATTAAATATTCATTTTTTATAAAGAGAACATATTAAAGTATTGCGTATGTAAAATGTATTCAATCAAAACCAAAAAGATTAAATAAAATCATCTAGATAAGATGCCTGGCACACAGTAGGTGTTTAATTAATGATAACTGTTAATATTATTATCACACCCACAAACATTTGTGGAGTGCCTACTATGTCCAAGTCATCATATTTAGGCTCCATCAGAAGGCAGAGAAGCACAAAACACAGTCCCTACTCCTACATGCACAAAAAAAATCCCCCAAATGTCCAATGGCAATGTTTACTTTGGGTCTAATGAGTGCTATAGAAAATAAAGCCTTTAAGGAGTTGAAAGGACAGAGAGATCATTTCCAGCTGGCTTCTTCAGGGAAGGTGGGGCTTGTGAGAGGCACTAAGGAAAGGGGAGGATTTCAATAAGCAGAGAAAGGGGGAAAAGACATTCCAGCAGCAGAAAAGAGCTTGGTTCAAAGGGCAAAGGGACTTGGTAGACATGAGCAGAAGATGCTGAGTGGACATTTGGCTTGGTGCAGCCGGTCTGTGGGATGCAGTCAAGCCAGACCCTAGGCAGGCAATAGTGGGCCTCCCTTCCTCCACTGAAATAACACAATCTCTGGCCCCAACATTTCCAATGCTTGGAGTGGGGCCAAGTTCGGCTTTCTTAAACAATTCTTGATCTTCGGGGACTGAGCCTAGAATGGGAAGCAAAATAGTTGCAGGGATTTAAAAAAATGTCAGTCCTCTCCCCTGTTTGAGCCCAAGTGTATGCAGAGCACATGCAGCAAGATGTGGGTGCAGAATAGAAGGTGCATGGTAATGTGTGTCTGAGTGCAATGTGGATATGTGTATACCATGACGTGTGGTGTGTGTGGGGACTGACATGTGAATATGCATGTCGTAATAACATGAAGTATTTCCTGTGATTGTATGCTGTGATAGACTAGGTTGAGTTATGAGTCCAGTGTGTGCTAACCACCCTCCTGAAGACTAATCTTTCCAAGTGACTAAGAAGGGGGCAGAGGAAAGCCAGCAGCCAGACAAGTACATATCTACCCACAGAGTACATCCTTTG